CAAGTGTTTGGTTTCGTCCTGATTATTTTGGCCTATTTGAGGATTAATTCTCTGAATAAGGTCTTCATCAGATGATTCAATAATTTTGGGGTTTTAGATTTTCGGCACATGAATTTTGATTATTTGGTTTCTTCTATAAATTCTAATTTGTAAAAAAATGTTCTTAAGAAATTTATTTCGTTCACACAGGTTATGAATCGTGGAAAGCGCCAACGCAAATCTATCTCACAGGGAGATGGAGAATGTAGCTTATTTTTTTGTCTTTGTCAATTTTTTTTGAATATAGTGTGTCATTAGTGAGTTTGATTCGTGTAGTTAGTGACATTCTTGAATCCCTGCAGAAGTTCCGTGCGAAGCTTTCGGATATCGTGCTCGCAAGAAAGACCATCATCATCTCATTTTCATATTCCACTTAATGGCGATGCTGAATTTATGGAGTCTGATAGTGACGCAAATGAGGCTTCATCGACGCCACCTAATAAAATATTATTTATTTATTAATAATGTTGATATTTTTCACAAAAATATAACATTATAACGGTATGGTATGGTGACTTCTCCTTTTAAGAATCATTTTTCTTCCTAGCTGTGCTGCAAATTATAAATGGTTGAGTTGATTATACCCTTAAAAATGATTAAACTCATTTTACATATATTTATTATGTGCAGGGAGGACTTGCCATGGTTCAGTTGTTGGAATGGTTTGATATATCTTACGTCATTTCAATATCTTTTCATAAATATATAATGAGTTAATTTTGTTCAGCCTTCTACCTAATTTCAAATTTTTATGGCAGTGAAAACTATACGATGAACTTTACAGATTAGAGGATTAAGATCAAAGATTGGCAGCAATAAATGGCCTGCTCTATTGTATCGAAATGTTCTACCTGGTAAAGTTATTGGATTGCTAGTGACAATATGCTTATATCCAGGTATTCGTTCTTGCTTAATTTATTCACGGTAAAAATAACATATAGTATTTCGTTGGTGTTTTTATCCAGAGTACAAGCTGTAGCTTTTACAATATAATGCAAGCGCAAGTTCTTACATTGCAGCTCACTGTTGTCTCTTATTTTGTAGGTTGTAGTTTAGCATCGTAATTGTGGGTTGCAACATTCTTCGCCGAATATCAGAAAAATTCTCAAAAAAACTTTCTTGATATCTCATTGTCATCTGTGCCGAACCACCTCTGGGGTTTCAGATTTTGATGGTCTTCTGTACAAAAATTACTTTACTGGGATTCATATTTGAGCAACACTATATGGGATATAATTTGAGATTGCCTGAAAGATTTCCTTTTTTAGATTCTATTATTTTACGATCTTCCAGTAATATCTGAAGTTGTATACAACAAATTTTATAAGCTTTAAAAACATGAATTTTGCTTACTCAGGAACACTAACTTTTTTTTCTTCTTTGATTGTTCAGGAACACATTTTACATTGGAGCATGGGAGCAAGGACATTTTGTTGAACTAAGAATATGTAGACTTTGAAAGTAAATGTATTGTGTAGGTTACTTCAAGTGTTGTTTTGAAGATAGATTTTTGGAACTTTGGTATTGTATA